TCCCTGCTAAATTACTCCTTTTATTCTGTGCCCAACAGACTGGATGCTCATGACATGTCCAGTGAAGTTCAGTCACTACATCTGATGTAAACAAGCTCTCAAGATTTGTCTCTTTCAGAAGTAGAGCCTATGATGATGTGATCATCTTCTCCCAGTTTGCCCCTAGTACTCCTGAGGGGGGCATTAATACTGTTTAGGCAAGATCCTGATCACTTAATTGTAGTGCACTCTGTGCCCTTAGGCCAGTTTAGATCAGGTTGGGGTGAGAGTGAGTAGGAATCAGAAATGGAAAGGGTAGTTTAATCACAAGAATCCATACCTGAAACCTCTGATGTAAAAGGGGTCTCTGCAGTAACACTGAGGGTTTTGGGGCTTACACGGGTGATCCTTTTCAACAGATAGGGAGGCAGAAGGACAGAATACAACTGTGCACATGAGCATGATTTTTCAGTAAAATATGTGTTGTTTGGGGCAGTCACATAGGTTCTAGAGTCTCATTTTGGATTTTTGAGTCCTCAAGCTGCTGGCAATAGGCATTAACTGTAGCAGTTGGCTCAGTGTGGGAGCAGATTTATTTTTCATCCTTAGAGTCAGGGGTTAAGGAGTGGGGTGAGCTCCTGTTGCCCCTTCTGCAAGAAGGGAAGATTGTGTGTTTAAAAAATGGCAAAATGTTACTGTAAAATTCAGGTATTGAGATTTAGATTTCCTAAAGTTGTAAATGTGGTTTGGAAGCCATGTGTGTATCATTTGTTCTGCCACACAGCAAAAACTGATAGCACAAAGGAGAATGATTTTTTTTCTTACAATACTGGAGAAAAAAAAGAATAAATTCTTTTAGTTCCTTCTTTTCCTCAAGAAGAGCTTCAACTCCTCTCAGTAGAAAAAATACAGAAAATTGTTACCCCAGCCAAACTAGAAGTACCACTAGTGAAAAACAGGTGCTTCTTCAAGCACATTGTAACTGGCAATATGAGGTGCTTGAAAGTAAAACCAATCTGCTTTGATTATAGGTGATATTGGCATAACATTCCTACACTGTCTCATTTTTGGACCTCTTACCTTTATCTGCGAGAGGAATGAAAACTTTTCACCATTTTCTGTCTGACTGTGATAATCCATGTACTAGGTCAGACCATGGAGGAGGGTTTGTAGGAAAGATTGCAGTTTACAGCTCTGTTGCCTTTCAAGGAGTTCCTTTGGGAATAAGAGCTGGGCTGGAAGTGTGCACCTCTTGTTGCCACGCAACAGACAGGCAGGGCCCTGGGTACCAGGCACAGCATCCATCACTTCATGATTTTTCAATAACCTTTTCAAAGGTGGCTACCAGAACTGCACAGAGTCTCTGCCTCAGCTCTGCTGCAAAATAACTTCCTTACTCCTACTTATTAGTCCCACACATGTACATTTGATGATCCTGTTAGTCTTTTATGCTGCCAGACCTGACCAATTTGTATCTTAGCTTCAGATTATGTCAATGCTGTTCTGTCTCTGTTCATCATAGTGCAACAAGGTCTCCTTATGTCAATTTAAGAGATCAGTCCTAACATGGGACTCAGGTCTCTGCTAAGATAAATAATGCAGGGAAAGTAGTTAACATGTGGCTGTGAAAAAATGTCTACTAATCCAAATTCCTTCTGTTTCTAAGTAAGCATTTCCTATGGGAATCTGTGTTCATGTGGGATTCACTGTGTGGTTGTATCTATGACAAAGTGCTAAAAATGCAGTATAGGGCTATTTCCTTGCCAGCTGTGATGAAGACCAGGTTTTAACACCTCGAACCTGTATCAGTAGTATGAATAGCTAATATTGAAAACAACCAGTTCTTTCTTCATGTTATTATGTAATGTATAAATATGCTTGGATCATATGATAAGTGAGAGTCACACTTGTCTGTGTGTGAAATATCTATTCTTGAGTCTCAAAACACTGCATTGATAGCACGTGATGATTTGCACTCGTTGCATGCAATACATTTCCATGCATTTCCTTTGATATTCAATAGTGAGAGCATATTGATGCAGCAAAGTGCATAACAATATACAATGTCAAGCTATAAAAGTGCAAGCAGAACTCCTGCTACAATCTCTTGTTGCATGAATACAGTTTTCTTTAGCTCAGTGCAGAAATGTAAAGACTGTGCCAAGCAGAAAGGATCAGAGTCATAACCCCTTTGGAAGAAACAATCAGCACATTTAAGAAGAAATAAAATTAAACTTTAAGAGCACCCTAATTGCATGGCAGTAAAATTCAAGTCTTATAAATCTGGTTACATTGTGTTAGGAATGCTTTTACTGGATCTTGAGATATAGGAGAAATCCATTAGAAGCAGAATCTGAAAGGGACTTGAAGTGGTGATCTTTCATTTCCCTGCTCTAAGGCTACACGGGCTGAAGACCTGGAAGCAGTGTTTCAGAGGTGGTGGATGCATGCATGACTGCCAGGGAAAGA